GTACTCCCCCGCAACCCCACACCCCGGTACAGGGCCGGCTCCCGGCTTCTTTTATACCCGCCTCCCCCCCTCCAGTACAGGGTCATGTCTTTCCCGTTTCTCAACCCCCTTCCCCCGGTACAGGGTCTGTCCCTCCAGTTTCTCAGCAATTTGTCTCATGTGGACACTCCCCTCTGCATTCTACTCGGCAAGCTAGCGCTACACCGATAATAATCAGTGTTACATATTAATGAAAGATGCCGCTGGTGTTTATCAGACTATAGGCGGACGGGTTATTTTATGCAGATATGGCACAATTTCGTTGCGAACTCTGCAATGCTTTTGTGCACCATTCACAGACTCATTTTCAATGTCCTTGTCAAGAGAATATCCCATTATTTTCCAGGCTTGAGTCCCCAGTTTAGTCTCTATCTCACACCCAGCCACCTGCTGTAGTGAAACAACAGGGAGGCTGTGGTTTGCTAATCCCCAGGGGACAATTGCAGCCCTCCTGTGTCCCTGCACCTTGTGGAGAATGGTTCAAAAGGCCATCACTTGATTCGGAAGGTCCCAGAAGCTTCGTGAAGTTGGCCGAAACAACTGCACATTGACCCCATCATTAATGACAGTCAACACTGAAACTCGTGTGAATGAAGAATGATCTGAAGAATTACTGGAATCCCACAGGGTTAACTGAAACAGTTTTGGATGAGTTCATTCCTTTCAAGAATTCCTCTTCCTGTTGATTGGAAATGGTCTGTTTCCAATACCAACACAGAGTTTGCAAAGTTAAGTCTATTAATTGTGCTTTTTCAAGTGCAGCTATTAAAAGTATACATGCTTTTAATATCTGTAGATCTAAGGAGACAGTTAATCTTCATATCTCTTTTCAAAATCAACTCCCTCTGCAACTAAAGTTTGGGACCTTTACAAAAACAAAGTTGCTGGAAAAGCTCAGCAGGTCCGGCAGCATCTGCGAAGAAAAAATCAGAGTCAACGTTTCGGGTCCGGTGACCCTTCCTCAGAAATATTCTTTATATTCTGGCATGTATCTCGATACTTCCAGAAGGCAAGCATTTCCTTAAAATCAACAGTTTCAACTTGTTTTTGTCCTGTTTCCATGGTTTAATTTTTAATCTCAAAATGTATGGACAATTTATTTTGCAATGTGCCAATGTAAATAATGAATCAAACATATTCTGCAGTTCAGTAAGCACCGGAACCATATGTCAGCTAACATGCACCCTAGCTCTCTGCACTCTCTGGAGTGTACAGATTAGATTTTTTAAAATTACTGTGTCATAAAGAGGGTAGATATTTTCTAATCAACCTGCTGATGAAATGTTGTAGTTACACACCCTTGGAGTAGGTGGGTTTCGAGTCTGGGCTTCCTGACAGACAGTACCACTGCACCACAAGTGCCCAACACTTTATTTATATTTGAGTTAGTTGATGTATTTTATTTTGCAAATTATTTCTGCCAGGAATTGACAGTGCTGTACATCTATGATACAATATTTCAACTTGTACATTGTTTTTATTTCTGGGCAAAAATGACTGAAGGAACCTAACTCTGACTTTAATACCAAATCCTTTGGAAACCTTTGATTCACTGAAAGTTATTTCTCTTACAATTGTGATTTGCTGCAATGCAACCATTCAATGGACATATAACATGGTTTTTTCCCCTTCATGTGGATGTTTTATATATTGTGTTCTTACAGACATGGTCCATTTTCACCTCCAGATAAAGCAGAAGATAGCTCAGGTGATCACCACAGAACCATACCTGTGACACATACAGCAGCGATGCTGAGGCCATGGAAAGACCAGCAGTGATCTTATTGAATGGTGGAGCAGGCTCGAGGGGCCACATGGCCGCCTCCTGATCCTGGTTCTTATGTTCTAACAGTAAGTCTGCCTCATACCTGATGATGACCAGGTTCTTAACTGCAATGGAAAGAAAGCTTCATTCTGACCTGCCTAATTTTTATTTCATCATCACATTCAGTTTTTAACATATGCCTCAGCCTCTCCAAACCATATCTCCTCAAACTTCACCTCACTTGACCTGATAGTGAAGGGGATAAAGGATCAGACAGAACAAGGCCTTCTGTTTTCCTTTATGTCCTGAGGTCCATTTGTTCCAGTCACAGATGTTCCTCAGCCTGTGCACTGACAGCAGATTTGGGCAGAAGACGGGAATGTTGTCCATGTCTAGGGAGGTTTTGATCTACCTCCACTATTGAAGATAATCACCCCTCCAAGTGCAGAACAACAAACCAGCTCGACGAGCCAACCAACCTCAACACCCACAACCCGAGCTACAGATCTACTCCAAAACCTTAGGATATTTTTGGAAGTAAAATGATTGACACGGGATATCCACTAGTCTGCAGAAATAGCTATAAAAAAAAACAACTTGGGTTGGAAGTCTTCAGTCTCTTTTGGACAAGAAAGAACTTCTTAAATTGGAAGAATATTGACTCCAGTGTAATGCTTTGCCAGCACAACAAGACTCAGAGCAGAGGAAACTGCTCCCACAAGGATCTGCTCCAGCCATCTGTCTCATCTGGGAACAAGGTTGTTTGTTTCTCCTATCTCCTTTATCGTACTTTAACTGTTACTTCTTAATAACCCAATATTACCAATGATTTCAGCCTTTTTGGGTAACGTAACTACTTACCTTACTTTGTGTGACATTTTAATGCCCTGGATTTTATTTTAAATTTCTATGTTCTACTTTAACAGTTTATGTAAAGTTTATTTTAAATAGGTTAACAACTCATCCACTGAGGCAATACGAGTAGAACTCAAAAACAAGACAGGTGCAATCACTCTGATAGGATTAGAACATAGGGCCTCCCACAGACACTGAGATGTTGAGGAATAAATATGTAGGCAAATTATGGAAAGATGCAATAAAAACAGTGTTGTCATAGTGGGTGCCTTTAACTTCCCCAATATTGACTGGGACTCCCTTAAAGCAAGAGACTTAGACGGGGCAGAGTTTGTTAAGTGCATCCAAGAGGGTTTCTTGAAACAGTATGTGGATATTCCGACTATAGGAGGGGCCATACTGGAGCTTGTATTGGCTAATGAGCCTGGCCAGGTGACTGACCTTTCAGTGGGAGAGCACTTTGGAAACAGTGATCACAACTCCTTAACTTTTACGATAGCCATGAACAAGGATAAGCCAGGACCTTGTGGGAAGGGACTAAATTAGGGGAGGGCAAATTACGTTAATATTAGACAGGAGTAAGGAGTGTTAACTGGAAGGAGCTGTTATCAGGCAAGTCCACGTTTGGCATGTGAGAGCTGTTTAAAGACCTGCTGGGAGAGTTTAAAACCAGCATGTTCCAGTAAGGAGGAAGGATAGGATGGCAAAGTAAAGGACCCTTGGATAACAAGGGAGGCTATGGATTTAGTCAAAAGGAAAAAAGAAGCATATGTAAGGTTTAGGAAGCTAAAATCAGACAGGGCCCGTGAGGAATATGAAGAAAGCAGGAAAATACTCATGCAGGGAATTAGGAGAACAAGAAGGGGCTATGAAATGTCCCTGGCAAGTAGGGTTAAAGAGAATCCCAAGGCATTCTATAGATACATTAAAAACAAGAGGACAACTAGGGAGAAGGTAGGACCACTCAAGGATAAAGGAGAGAACTTGTGCTTGGAGGCAGAGAGTGTAGGCAAGATCCTAAGTGAGTACTTTGCATCATTATTCACCCAGTAGAAGGATATGGAGGATAGTGAGATATGTATGGAGCATGCTAATATGCAAGGGCATTTTGAGATCAAGAAAGAAGTGATGTTGGATCTCTTGAAGTGCATTAAGTTGGATACATCCCTAGAGCCCGATGGTATCTAAACAGGTTACTGAGAGAGGCAAGTGAGGAGATTGTTGGGACCTTGACCAAGATCTTCGTATCCTCACTAACCACTGGAGAGGTCCTAGAGGACTGGTGAGTAGCTCATGTTGTTCCTCTGTTCAATAAGGGAAGTCGGGATAATCCAAGAAACTATCAGCTGTGAGTCTCACATTGGTGGTTGGGAAGCTGTTGGACAGAATTCTTAGGGATAGGATTTACTCAAATTTGGAAAAGCATGATCTAATTAGGGACAGTCAGCATGGCTTTGTGCAGGGCATTTCATGTCTTATTAATTTGACTGAATTTTTTGAGAAGGTGACAAAGGTGATCGATGAGGATAGAGCAGTGGATGTTGTTTACATGAATTTTAGTAAGATTTTCAACAAGGTCCCTCATGGTAGGCTTATCCAGAAGATTAAGATGCAGGGCATCCACAGTGACTTGGCCTCATGGATTCAGAATTGAGTTGTCCATCGAAGACAGAGGGTAGTGTTGGAAGGGTGTTTTTCAGGCTGGAGGTCCGTGACTAGTGGTGTTCCACAGGGTACTGGGACCTCTGCTGTTTGTGATATATATAAATGACTTGGATGAAAATGTAGATCGGTGGTTTAATAAGTTTGCAGATGATACAAAGATCGGTGGAGTTGTGAACAGTGTAGAAGGTTGTCAAATGATACAGCGGAATATAGATCAGTTGCAGATATGGGCGGAGAAATGGCTGATGGAGTTTAATCCGGGTAAGTGGGAGATCAAATGTTAAGGAAAAGTATACAGTTAATGGCGGGATCCCAACTGGCATTGATGTACAGGAGGATCTTGGGGTTCAAATCCATATCTCCCTGAAAGCAGGCACACAAGTAGATAGGGTGGTAAAGAAGGCATATGGCATGCTTACCTTTATTGGTCAGGGAATTGAGTACAAGAGTCAGGATGTCATGTTGTAGCTTTATAAGACTTTATTTAGGCCACACTTAGAGTATTGAATTCAATTCTGGTCACCACATGACAGGAAGGATATGGAGGCTTTGGAGAGGGTGCAGAAGAGGTTTACCAGGATGCTGCCTGGATTAGAGGGGATGAGCTATAAGGAGAGTTAGAAAAACACGGATTGTTTTCCCTTGAGTGGTGGAGGCTGAGGAAAGACTTGATAGATGTCTATAAAATTATGAAATGCATAGATAGGGTTGACAGGCAGAATCTTTTTCCCAGAGTTGAAACGTCTACTACTAGGGTAGCATGCATTTAAGGTGAGAGGGGAAAAGTCTAAAGGAGACATGACGAGCAAGATTTTTACACAGAGAATGGTAGGTTTCTGGAAGGCACTGTCAGGGGTGGTGATGGAGGCAGATACAATAGGGGCATTTAAGGGCTTTTAGATAAGCACATGAACATGCAAGGAAAGGAGGGATATGGACCAAGAGCAGGCAGAAGAGATTAGTTTAATTTAGCATCATGTTTGGCACAACATCATGCTGTAACAGTTCTATGTTCTATGTAACCTTGAAATGAACAGTCAATAAGTTAAACATGTGATTCAGTGCAATACATTTAAAGAACAGAGGAAAGTACATTTCTATGCCTTTTGTGTATTGCAACAGCTTAAGATAGAATTTCCAGCCAATTTGTGACCTACTCACAGGACCAGGGACCTGGGTTCAATTCCACCTTCGAGCGACTGTCTGCATGGAGTTTGCACATTTTCCCTGTGTCTGCATGGGCTTCCTCAGGGTGCTCCGGTTTCCTCTCACAGTCTAAAGATGTGCTGATTAGGTGGACTGGCCATGCTAAATCGCCCATTGTGTCCAGGGAAATGCAGACTAGATGGATTAGCCATGGGAAATGCAGGGTTACAGGGATAGGGTGGGGCTAACCCCTAGTCCATTCCATGACCACAAACACCACCTCCCCTTCCCACAGCACCTTCCCATGTAACTGCAGAAAGTGCAACACTGGTCCCTTCATCTCCTCCCTGCTCACCATCCAAAGGCCTAAACAGTCTTTCCAGGTGAAGCAGCATTTCACCTGGACCTCCTCCAGTCTGTGTATTGTATTCGCTGCACCAAATGGGGCCTACTCTACGTTGGAGAAACCAAACGCAGACTGGGTGACTGCTCTGCAGAACACCTCCAGTCTGTGCGTGAGCAGGACCCCAACCTGCCTGTAGCTGGTCATTTTAACACAGCGTCCTGCTCACATGCTGCAGTGTTCCACTGAATCACAGCACTAACTGCAGCAACATCTCATCTTCAGACTAACGCACTTTGCAGCCTTCTGGACATAATATTGAGCTCAACACCTTCAGATTGTGAACTAACTCCCATTCCTTCACTTTCTTTTAGCTTTACTTGTTACATTCTCCCATTTCTACTATTTATTTTGGCTTTACTCATCACATTCTTTGTCACCATGTCCTCTCTCCCCTCCCCCCATCCCAGTTACTGTCCTTTCAGTCTGGCAGTTAGACACACCATTGTTCTGCCATTCTCACATTCCCATCGCTTCATCTGAACTATCAACAGCTTTTCTCCAATAACCCTGTACACCCACTACTCCCACACCTCCTCCCCACCCCCCAACAAACTATCGCATAATTTGGACTCGAAACGTTAGCTTGCTCTCTCTTCATGAATGCTGTCTGACCCACTGTGATCTCCAGCATTTGTTTTTAGTACAGATTCCAGCATCTGCAGTAATTTTCTCCTACCCAAGATAGGGTGGGTCTGGGTGGGTGCACTTTGGAGGGTCAGTGAAGACTCAATGGGTCGAATGGCCTGCTTCCACACTCTTAGGGTCCTGCGATTCTACTTGAGGTACAAGATCTGAACAATAGATGGAGCTGTTTACCTTTCCAGTGAAAGACCATAGGTGCACATAGAGCAAGCAGGCAATATTCAGAATGAAGAAAGGTACGGAATGCATAACTAGAAAAAAATTCCTGAAGTTTGCAGGGTCTTTTACTGACCCTCTCAAAAATGTACACTCGGTTTTCATTTTCATTTTTTCATTTGCTTTGAAAGGTTTTTGAAGCACGTAATGAAAATGCATTGATACATTTGTAAATTGTTACAAGAATGTTGAAGTGTCCAAGTATTTAGAATGAGGGGCCAGTTGTCAATTTCTTTCGACTCAGGAGGGGAGTACGCAAATTTTTGGAAAGATAAGGCATTAGTGTTTCCACACTGTACAGATTCTATGTGAAGAAGTTTATCCTGCTATTATTAAATCAACAAAGATGTACAAGCAACAGCAAGTGATGGAAGGTGTCAGTAACAGTGTTATCAAGCAGCACCTGCTCAGCAATAACCTGCTCAGTGACACCCAGTTTGGGTTCTGCCAGGACCACTCAGCTCCTGACCTCATTACAGCCTTGATTCAAACATGGACAAAAGAGCTGAATTCCAGACTTGAGGTGAGAGTGACAGCCCTTGATATCAAGGCTGCATTTGACCAAATGGGGCATCAGGGAGCCTGAGCAAAACTGGAATCAATGGGTATCGGAGGGCAAACGCTCCGGTGGTTGGAGTCGTTCCTGACACACATGAAGATACTTGTGGCTGTGGGAGGTCAATTATCTCAGCTCCAGGACACGACTGCAGGAGTTCCTCAGGATAGTGTCCTAGGCCCAACCATCTTCAGCTGCTTCATCAATGACCTTCCCTCCATCATAAGGTCAGAAGTGGGGATGTTCGCCGATGATTGTACAATATTCAGCAC